GGGTTTAAATACTCACTCCATTTAACATTCCGGGGCCCGTTACAACCTTTCTCGACCACTTATCTCTGACAGGCTCCTATTCCAACCCATTCTAAACGAATATAGCTACTACTCCGGCTCAGTCAATAGTTTTCTTTCCTCCATTAATCCAGTCACATTATCCCCTTAACTCTTATCTTTACCCCTCACTTCAACTCAACAATCGTTTGGAAATCAAAACCTGTAGGAATTCAAACACATACTGCCACAACAGAGTTTGAAATTCAAAATTCACTTACTCTTGTTCACAGCGATGTTATTGAGTCAGTCGGCATTTTCCTTCCCTATTTCGCACACAATTTCCCCTTTAGCTCTGCTACTGTGGAACCACATGTAATTTTCTCCTATGTATCCTTTAAATTTCGAATTTTCTTTTCTCTAATGTTTCACGATCAATATTATCTCCCTCTTTTTCCTTAACGCACTCCCTTATCTCTCTGCCTTTCTCTCTATTCGTCGGTAACCTCTCTCTTTCCTAAGGTTTCCTCCTTTTCCTTTTTTTTCTTGTGTGTAAAAACAATTTTTTTTTTATATAGTATATAAAATTCGATCGCAGTCGTTCATTATTGGTGAGATCTGGACAGTTGACTTCTTATTCCCTTTTAAAATTTTCAAGTCTTTACTTTTTTTTTTTTCTTTGGATGTTACGAGAACAAATATAAAATAAATACAAATCCTCTTGCCCTCAACTTATATAAATTTTATATACCATTGAATAAATGTCAAATTACATCAGTCATTACGTATAGTATTTTTTGTCAATTCTTTGGGTGAATCGCCTTAGCATTTAATAGTTATAGTCAAAAGTAATATTTTAATAGTTACAAAGTTAATTAATTATAATAAACATGTTTGATCTTATATTTATATTTACGGTAATATTCTCTATATTCTATTTATTGTTTTTCTTTTTTTAGGTGACCGTTGCTTTCTATTCCAATTTGCCAAACAGCTATAATTGAATGAGATTTTTGTTCTCACAAATATTTATTTGTCTTATTTTGGTCACGAACTATTTTTGGGGCCACGTTAATTGATCCAACTTCTTGCTTGACTAAAAGAAGGCCCAATTAAATTAGACCCATAATTCAATATCTGCAATTGACACTTATTATTATTATTATATAAAAATATTAGTTCATCATCAAAACATAGTTGGTGAATCGAAGTTGGAAGGATCAATTCAAAATTAAATATTTTGAATGAAATTGAAGTGTAATATTCAAAATATAATTTTCAAACTTTATTGTCATATATATACTACATAAATAAAATAGTTAAAAATAAAACATTTTTCAAAATATTAGGTAGCTACAAAAATATTTATTTCGAGATCAAATTATGTAAAAATATAATTATTTTCACATGGAAACAAATTTTGTTTATTTATCTTTAAAATTATAACTTGTAAATAAATAAAAATGACTTATCTAAATATTTTATAATAATAATTTAAATTGAATAAACTCAACTAATAGAATTAAATAGTGTGGGTCCAGAAGCCGGCTCACAACCGTTGCAAACCAAGTCTAACGGCCACTAAAATTTCAAAGGTGAATCGGTAAGTTCATCAGGCGGCTAAAAACAAACGCGAGAAAAATCAAACGGTGCCTTGTCTGATTAACTCACTGTACGAGCCCTTTTGATTCGTGATTAACGAAGAGCGAAGGCTGATGATGGCCAGGTCGATGACATCAGCGTCGAGTAAGAGCCAATGGAAATCCAACACGTATCATGGGCCCACCATGTCTCTTCGTCTCTCACATCTACTACACCTTCACCGCATTGTAACATTTCTCTGTCTTCCCCCATCACCCTCCCCCCTCCAAATGACTCTCTCCGTCTGCGTTTGTACGTAAACGGAGACGGTAACTGTATGAGAACTTCGTTCGGTTCGACTCGTCCATGAAACGGCGGTGACTCGGGCGGATCAGCTTTATTGGCTGAGTCACTACCGAGTCTCTGTTTTGTTATTAATTATCTAATTTTCTATTTTTTCCCTCTTTATCCTTCTCTGAATTTGAGAATTAAAGACGGAAAATAAAAGTGGACAAAAAGGTGATGAGAGGGAGCTTGTTGATCCACCGTCGTGGTGTACAGAGGATCCGGCAACTCGCCATCTCGGCCATTGGATCGGTGAAGATCAAGATTCTGCTCTGCTGCTGCATCGCTTTCACTCTTCTCGCGCTCGCCACTCGTGCGGCGTCTTTTATGGGATGGGCCGATCACGCCGTGTCCCTCGATCGGTTCTCTAAACCGCGGTGCGTTGCAGTTCTTAGTTACGTTCACAAGCAAATCACGTATATATTGTTATCTGCTATGTTTTCTTTTTAAATGTCAATTAGTTGATAAATATTTAATTATTTGATGAATTTTATAGTTATTTAGATTCTTACGTAATGTTTTTGTCCTAATGGAGGAAAATTAGGAACTTAAAGCCTTACGGTAACATAATTTAGATCTCATTTTTAAAGGGAAGGAAATAAAGTTTTGGTACAGGAGGCGAAGTCTAATGTTGATTTAGTACGGAAACTTTCCGTTAGAGTCTGTATTAATTCTTGAACTAAAGGGAAATAATCCGTTTTAAATATTTTGTGTAGTAATTAATGCATTAGCGCTTGCTTAATTCAGAATCTAAACCACTAAGTGGACTATCCTTTTTCGTAGTTGTTTGTTAAAGGTAAATGAACTTCACTTTCTTAGCCTTTACTCTTTATTAAGGAGGTCTGCCATAGTTAAAAGTTGTGCTCATAAACACTTTATGATGTGAAAGAAAATTTTATTTTATAACAAGAAATTGAAAATTAGATAAATGTAGTTTTGGTGAACTATATATATATATGTAATTAAGTATAGCTTATTTGATCAAAGGATATGTTCTTTTTTTAAGGAGAAAGTGAATCCCTATTAGTAGTTTCTTTCAGTGGTCTTTGTACTTCTGTGCAGATGCTCATCTTCTAGGAGTTATTTATTAATTTCTTTTTAAGGAATTCTGTGGTGCATTATGTCCAACAAAATGGCGGTTTAGTCTATGAGTTCTGATTTTTATAGGGGAGAAGTTTAGTTTAGAAATCTTATTAATGAGGAAGGAAAGAAATTAGTCTAGGCACTTTGCTCCTCCAAACAGGTTGGTATAGTTAAAGAATTTTTGGGTTTTTATTGAATCTGATTATTATGGTTTTTCACTAGTGCTTGTCACTAATCATTTTCTGCCAAGGAAGAAATAAGGTCACTCCCTTTAGTTATGCATCTCAAGGGAGGTGAGCTAAATGTTAATACTAAAATGAGGAAAAAAAGAAATTAGTCTAGGCATTTTGTTCCTTTAAATGTGTCGGTATATTCAGAGAATTTCAGGATCCTACTATATTGAATCTGATTATTATTGTTTTACCACCGCTCGCCAATCATTTTCTGCCAAGGAAGAAATATGATCAGTCCCTATGGGCATGCATCTCAAGGAGGTGAGCTAAATATTAATACCTAAAACGAAATAAATTCCTTGTTCGAGAGGATAATTTAGCAATATCTACAAGCAAGTACTTGAGGTGATACCTTGATGGTCATAGGCTCCACAGTTTTTGATTATAAGCTAACCTGCCCTATGTTCTTAAAATGTTCGATACCTTCTCTTAACTCCCTCCAAACCCGCCACCCCAAAGAACAAAAAAAAAAAAGAAGTAAAATCTTAGGAATTGCCTTCCTTGGATAATTATTTTTGAATTATTGTTTCCTCTATGATAAGCATGACTTTTATGGAGCCAGATGGTGTCAGGAGCCTTAGACATAGACCTGACTATGAGTATGTTGTGTGTTTGCGTAGAGAGAAGAAAATAGGGTTGGCAGAGTGAAGAATAGAAGAGGAAAGAAATGAAAGAATAAGGAGAGGAAATTCATTGAAGGTTCAGAGGTTTCTCATTAGATTTTTGATGATTTTTCTGATATGCCCTACTACATAAGTACATCCATAGCTACTGAGATTTGTACAATAACTAAATAACCAAATTGCAACTCCAGATGGCCGAATGGAAATAACAAGAATGAAAATACTACTAGCTGTGCCAGAATACTTCTAGCCTGCCCTCCTGCTAATTCAGTTACTGATTTAAAGTTTGGTTCTCCTTGAGTAAACCAGTTACTGCTTGATGGTATTTTTCCTATTTTCTTTCAGCTAGCCACCTTGCGCTTTCTCTAAGTCAATCCTTACATATGGTTAGTTCTCGGTTGATATAGTAAATGTGTGGTTGTATGGTTGATGGATTTTTCTAATTTGTTCTTATCTTGATCAAGCATGGTTCAAATAGCAGTACTTTTAACAGCCATATTTTTTTCTTTCTTATTGTTGCATATTATTGATCCTTATATTACAGCATTTCGGTTGCATTTTCATGATGGATTGCACATCATATACAGGAAAGGATATACAATTTTGATGAACACATGGAAGAGATATGATCTCTTGAAGCAGTCCATTTCTCATTATTCATCATGTGGCAGACTCGAGTCTATACATATTGTTTGGAGTGAGCCTAACCCTCCATCAGATTCTCTTAAAGAGTTCCTCAACCATGCTGCACAGTTAAACTCCAGAGGTAGGCAGAAAATTGACTTGAGGTTCGATATCAATGAAGAAGACAGTTTGAACAACAGATTCAAAGAAATCAAGGATTTGAAGACAGATTCTGTTTTTTCCATTGATGATGATATTATATTTCCCTGCTCCACAGTGGAGTTAGCTTTTGATGTTTGGCAAAGTGCTCCAGATGCAATGGTTGGATTTGTTCCACGTATCCATTGGGTTGATAAATCGGTATGCTGTTAGCTCAATTTTGCTTATTTCTATTTCTGACATTGTATCATTCAGAGCTAATTTAGCACACCGTCACTGAAAACCTAGTGAAATGATTTTCATTTTGCTTCCCTTTGTATGGCTTCTCTATAATAAACTATCAGAAGGATCACATGCCAAATATGCTTATTGATCATTGACTACTTGCCTCATTATTTGCCTTTTGGTTCTCTATAATATGGTCAATGATGCATGTGTTTAGATTATTGAATTGGGACACAACTAGAAAAGAGTGCAATGAGTTTTTTAATATTCTCAAATTTCATAGACCACTATGAAGTGACTGCCTTTTATGAGCCCATGACATTTATGGCTCCTTAAAATTATATTGCTTCTTATAACTAGGGCAAATTACTAATTTAGTCTCTAAATTACGGGTTTTGTTTGACTCCAAGAACTTTTTTAATGAAATTGTTTACATAACAGAAAAAGTTCTTTCTGTCTTGTATGGTAGTAGAAAAAAATTATTTAGAAACACAATGTTTCTATTTAGAACTATGAATTGAGGAAATTCCAAAAAATGGTTAGTCCGTGCCTCTTTTCTTACTGTATATGTTATTATCATCTATATGGTTTAAACGGAACAAACTATTTGTTATTGGTAAAGTTATGAAAGTTAATTCTTAACTTTTAGAGCTTCAAACTGCATAGACAAAAGTATAGGGAGAAAAAGGGAGAATTTATGTTATTTTCTGTCAAAATATTTACAATTGCACAAAAAGATCACGTATTGAAATAATTTTTTTTGAGTTTTAGGACTATTACAACAAAAGAACCTTTGGATTAGTTGTAGCATGATGAAGAGCACAGGAATTGAAATGACAATTTGCACTTGTAACACAAACAAACAAAAGAGTTAGTGATGCATTTAGCTGAGTTTGTGGATGTTATGTGAGGAAACCTGACTCTTAAAACACTTTGTTTTAATACTTGCATTCAGGCCATTTATGCATATTGCTTGATAATGCCTGTTAACATCACAATCTTATCTTATGCAGAAAGGCAATGGGGAACACTTCATCTATGGTGGATGGTGGTCTGTTTGGTGGACGGGGACATACAGCATGGTACTCTCCAAGGCTGCCTTCTTCCACAGGAAGTACCTGAGCCTTTACACAAATGAGATGCCAGCATCAATTAAGGAATATGTATCAAGAAACAGGTTTCTATCATCTTGACTGATTATTGCTCGCCATTTCTTATGTGTTTTTGACTGTCAAGCTGTTCACTAAAGTTTCAATGGGATTCACTAGGAACTGTGAAGATATTGCAATGTCTTTTCTTGTTGCAAATGCTACTGGTGCTCCCCCAATCTGGGTGAAAGGTAAGCAAAAGATCTCACAGAATTACATAACTGGGCACCATTTTGGTTCTATCACAATATTCATTGTGCTTTATTTCATCATCTAGCAGGAATTAAGGTAATAAACGGATGAGTAAAAAATGATACCTTATATTGCATTTTTATATTGTCTTTCACAAACCTGATTTCAGGAGTATAACTGTTACTGAACTATCTTGGTGATTTTTTTTACTGGGTTTTGAGGCCTTATATATGAGAGTAAGTTGTATTATGAATTATAATGATTCAAGATGTCATCCCCATAGGACATGAGAATAATGTTTCATGTAAGCACCTGAGCACCGCCAAGGCCTTAGAACCTTTTTATGGAAGAAGCATTTAGATATATGTGATACTCTTTTTACCAGGCAGCATACTTCGCCTGATATGGTCCAATGCAATCTATTCACAGATTTGATCACTGTTATGGATGCTCACGTGGCCTTGCATCATTCAACTTATGCACAGAAACCTAGGTTGCTTTGTTCGGATTATAGGTGGTTAATGTGCTGAATGCCTTGTGCTTGTCAGAAACTATGGTCTGGTTTTTTTGTCACCTAACTTAAAATTATATAATTCTATTCCAAATCTTGAACCTGACTTGGTGGCTTTTAAATCCATGACCATTTATCTGGGCTGATGTGTGATTGATTACCTCTCACTTTGTTCAAGATTGAAGGATAATTTTTGTACTTAACTGGATTTATGCCATTTATTACAGTTAGTAGATAGCATTCACCGTGAATTGCCACTATCTTTTGTACGTGTAAATGAGCATCATAATTTTCTTTTAAATAAAATTTCCTCTAATTCTTTTAGTCTATTTCAAAAGCATTCTGGGTGCTGTAATTGCAGGTAAAATATTTGAGATTGGATCAACTGGAATTAGTAGCTTGGGAGGTCATAATGAGAAAAGGACTCAGTGCGTTAACCGATTCGTTGACGAGTTTGGACGAATGCCCTTGGTGTCTACTTCTGTGAAGGCTGTTGATAGTCGAAGCGCTTGGTTTTGGTAATACTGTAGCTTCTCTACTACGTTTCAATAGCTAGACTTCCTGTATTTTTGTTAAATCAGTGGAGACATTCTGATTCTTTTTGGTTCTTGAGATCTGTATGATATGAGGACTTTTTTACATGGGAGTTAATTTTTGTCTGGAAAATCGAGATTATTTAGAGCATCTGTGTAGACTAATTTCTTGTACTTTTAGCATGTAAGCACCGAGGAAACGATATAATCTTTTCACACCCACGATTAGATCAAGATGACGACACTGTGCTCTGTGGTCTTGTTTCTTGGATAGAATTTTGTTATGTAATGGTAGATTAGCCAGATTATTTATTGACGACATCTCGTTTTAGTTGGCTAGAGGTATTATTGCTGCACTTGTTTGATTTGTAGTTAAAAGTTATTTATTTATGATGATGGAGTGACGGAAATATATGGTCCTCATCATGAAATCATGGAAAAGGGAAACATATAAGCTTAGAATTCATGAAATTTCACATTTTTTCCTGGAACTGTGCAGGGAGGAAAATAGTTCCTTGAAATTGTTTAGGATTTTATAACTCTTATCAGATCCAATGATGCAACAATTTCAAGTAGAATCGAGATTTTAAGTGGAATTAAGATTATTCATTTTAAATTTTATAAATTTTGACTTATTTGTTTCAATTTTATTTAAAAATTCAAGGTAACTCATTTTTTTTTTTTTATAATTTTGTGAAGAATTTTCACCTCTAGATAATTGAAGTATATAAATTCTAAAAGGAATCCTAGAAACAGAATTATTTAGTTCCAAACGTAGACTCGAGTGAGTGAATGAATGTTGGATCTTAGATTCTTTCCCATGTGTTCATTCTAGGGTTGATATTAGCTTCTGTCCTCTGTGTTTATTTTACATCCGAAGGGGGGAAAAAAAGAGGGAGACTGATCCATCCGGCGAGGTAAATATTTCATAAAAAATTTTAAATTTCTTTGTAAGATTTATGTTTTCTTTAATTGAAAAATAACATAAATTCTATTAAAAATAATAAAAACTGACTTTAGATTATATTTCATGTGAAACTACAATAATACATTTAAAATTTTATGATTATCATCCCTACTTGAAATACTGTAGATTTGCAAATAAAATGCATTACAAATTTTAAATTATTTTAAATATAGCCTAGTTTAATTTATAAAATCATTTGTAATTTAAAAAATTTGGATTAAATTATGCCCAAGCATGGTTAAAGAGAGAGAAAATTAATAACAGTGTAATTATCAAGTAGATTAATTGATTGTCATTCAAGAGATACCTAACAGAGCATAAATATTTGATAATTTAATTAATAAGAGACCATTTATACTTAGAAAAATTAAAAAAAAAACAAGAAGATGATGAGAAATGAGTCAGTTTTTGCATTCAATACATAAACTAACCATATCACCCGTATACTTACATCTCCATGTGTTTACATGGCTTAGCACAACCACTACAAACTCATACAAAAAACCCAGAAAACTGTACAATTCCATGTGGATTTATAATGTTACTGGGACTCTAATGGGGCATTGCTCCATTTCTTTTTATGCTGCCTATCTCTATCTACTGCAAAATCAAGCAATTTGATTTATAGGTACAGGAGGGAAACAGGTTTCTTCCCCACCAGTGCTCCAAAGGAAATTTGCATATTTTGATGTATAATAAGGGTTCTTGGGTGCAGCCTCCATTGCTTGCTGGTATGTCTCTTCTGCATCCCACAGCTCATCCCTCACTCTCCATAAGAAGTCTGCGTATAGACTCAATGCTTCTGGGTCTGGTAGTTCCAACTGGATTGCTCGCTTGAAGCACTCCTCCGCCCTGAAACATAGATCGAATCAGGATAGATCTCGAAAGTGAAAAAAATGACCCAATTTTTGTTTCAATTGGGCGAATGTATGAGTATCTATTTTAATTTGATTTTTTCAAGTACTGTTAAACTTAGTTGTAACTTATTAAGGTGTCATATTAGCAGAAAAGGATAATAAAGCTGCATGAGTTCAACAAGACAAAGTGAAAATCTTTTACCTGTCATGGTCTTTAGCTACAAGATTGAGAAATTGTGCATAATTCAGTAGCAGAAGTGGATTATTAGGCTCCTTTGCCAAACCCATCTGATACATAAGGTCTGTTCTGAAGTATTCTTCATAATCATCCGGTTCCATCTGTACGGTGAATGGTGAAACAAACTGCTGCACTGTCTGATGATCGAGAATATCGTCTCTCGATTCAGATTGCAGCCTTGAAGCTTCCTCCACAACGGAGTTCCACAATGCTTTTTCCCCTTCCTCTAGGACATGCATAGGAGCCTGTAAAATCTGATTGGGGAATTGAATTGATGGCAATGGATTGTTTAGATGCGAATCTCCGTCTCTAGTTGCAATGTCAATTTCACCTAAACTTTCTCCCTCACTGTTATTGCCTGCGCTGGAGGATGAAAAAGCTGACTTCTCGGCTGAGGAGGGTTCAATATTTGGTTGGTTTTGATTCTTGATTTCCTTCAAAATCATCTTCTCCTCTGATATAGTTTTGTTAGAGATTGTGCTTGGTTGATTAGCTACAACCAAGGTCTGATTAGCCAAGGAATGGATTGTGAAATTAGCCAAGAGAATCATGACATGAACCATGAGAATAGGTGTTCTTGAGAACACTTGTTGAAATAACCAGACAAATGAAGCATTCATTTCTCTCTGCATCTTCTTCACAATCCCCTCCAAATCCGAAGAACAGGTGTCTTCTCTTATTTGTAAAGCATGGCTTTGAAGCTCTCTGATGATGAACACCATTGAAGAGAAAGCCTTTTTCGCCGAGCAGCAATTGAAATCCTTCACTGTAATGTTCTCGGAAAAACCCTCCTGATATTTCTGCTTCCTCCTGATCATCCTCAATGAAACAGGAATCTCAAGGCTGTTTGCCTTGCTTTCAATGATGACTTTGTCAATCTCATCGTCTTCAGGCCATTCAGGTGTGTACCACATACTAATCCCAAACGAACTTGGATCAAGGAAATCGAACCTTGGCGGGGAAAACTGGTTCAAGAACTTTTCATTAATATAAAATCTTTGTGACAAATCTTCAATACCCTTTGATGAATCTTCATTGGGGAACTCATTGAATCTCGCCTTGCAAACCACATTTCTCAGATTATGATGAAGACGATAACAACCTATAAACGTGCTTGATCTAAAGAAGCTGGATTTATGAATCAAACCATTAACAAAAACTTGATTGTTCTGTCTTGGACTTGGAAATAACAGAGAGGAAATTTCATAAACTGATCTTTGAGGACAAGAAAGGTAATGAGGAACCATGTGCTGTAAACTCTGCATATCATGTACTAGTCTGCATATTTTTGCAGAGGAATCAGTGAAACTAAGAAAAAACCTGAAAACCTTTTAAAGGAGAGAAGATGAACCAAACAGGTAAAGTGAGAAATTGAAGGAAAAAGTTGGTGAAATTATAGGTAAGAAAATCTCATGAAACCCATGAACACCAGTCCTACTTTCCATTAAATCTTAAAATAGGGAAATCTTAGAAAGGTCTAGAATTTACCACTTGCTTTCAATGCAGATCTTTATACATGGATAAAAGTATACTCCTACACGTATAATGTATAAGCAACCCCATCAAAGTCAAAATATCTTCATCTCTCTACATGTGAACTTCTGCTTCATCTTCACATCAACATACATAAATGTTCAAGAAAATAAAAAAGAAAAATATCCAATAAAAATATAAACACATATATTATGTAATGTACCCATCAAAAGTCAAAATATCTTCATCTCTCTACATGTGAGCTTTTGCTCCAACTTTCACATCACATATCTACATATATATCAATATAAACATATATTCAAGAAAATATCATATTATCAGGAATGAAGGAATAGAAAAATACCCCTTAAAAAGAATTCAGAAGGGTAAGATAAAACAACATTCATTGCTAGAAGAAAAAAGAGATTGAAAAAAGCCTACCAGAGCTTACACATATATATACATACATACATATATATATATATATATAAGAAAGTATCATATTATCATGAATAAATGAATAGAAAAATACCCAAATAAACAAAATAAAAAGAGAAAAAATACCCAGTAAAAAGATTCAAAAGGGTTACATAAACCACATTATTAGAGAAAAAAAAGAGATTGAGAAAGGCTTACCAGAGCTTACACATGCAAAGAAGAACAATCTCGATTGTGCTATTAAAACATTCTTGTTTCTTTTTTATAGAACAGACAATCAATCCCTTTTATTTTCTAAAAATGATCTCTCTCCTGGTTTTTTAGAAAATTCCAAAACAAACAAAAAGATAAATTTAATTTTTATTTTTTAATGGGAAGCCTATTTTTAATTTTCTTTTTTTTTTTTTTTTTTTTTTGAGTTTCTGAGTCTATTGGCCGTAGCCTTTCATGGTTTTGCGGGTTAGCTTAGGAGCAGAGACCGCGTCTGTCATCTCCCGACAGATATAGCCATAGTCTAAATTAGGACGCCACGTGGCGTTCGCAGAGATTGATACGGTGTGATCTCAATCGGCTTGGGTTGGTCGGTGCTGTAAGTTGTGTCACGGCGCACTTTCCCTGTCCACATAATAGAAGGCGCAATTGACGGGGTCTTTTGCTGCGAGACGCGGGAAGAACGAACTTTAAGAGGTTTGTCATGACACGTGGCGGGCTTAAAAAGGGCCCATTAGTGTAAGCCCATCAGAATTTTAGCAGTTTGATGGGCTAAGAAATATCAAAGGTTGTTAGAAATGGAATTAATTATTCAAAATCACTAAATTTAAATCGAAAGCCCACATGACTCTTAATGCTAAATAAATTAAAATTAAAAAATAAATAAATAAAAGATAATAACATAAGAATTTAATAATTTCATGATAAAAATGACCAAAAATTAAAATAAAAATATTAAGAAATTCAAACTGTAATTAAATCAAATCACGATGACTAAACTTATGATTCGTTGAATATTTGACTTTTTTTTTTCTTTTTACAAATTACACCATTAAACCCTTACTGTTTATGATGAAATTTCTCTTGCTTTTTCTTTATTTATTTATTTATTTTAAAAAAAGAGTCGTCAACCTTGATAATCAACCGGAATAAAAACTGGTAGTGAATAAATTTTCTATCAAGAAAGAACTTTCTGGAAGAAAACTATGAGGATATACAGCTTGTCCGTTGAAGATAATACAAAACCAAGTCAGACCATCTAATCTAATACAGCCAATATAATAGATGTGTGTGTGTGTACCAGGTAAGTTGAATCTTTACACATGTATACAGGGTACGGATAATTTACAGGTGGAGTTTTGATTTTATTATCACAGGCATATTTAAATTTCAATTTGAATCAAATTGGATTTTTTTTTTTTTTTTTTTAAGAATTAAGGATCAAGTCGGTTTTAATAATTAATTCCTTCTCCCAACAAAATATACACTGTCTATTTATTCTCTAAAAAAAAATTATACATTGTTTCTCATATCTTGTATTTTATTATGTACGGATGGTGGCTAATTTTACGTAACGTAAAAATGATAGGTTATGGAAAAATATTGACGAGGAGTATGGAAAATTTGTCTTGTATTTTTTTCCAAATAAAATTTGATTTTATTTGCATTTTCAACGTTCGACTTTCTTTGTAGCTTCACTCTTCATGTAAAATACAAATTTTATTTTTTGTATCACCAGAGAAAAAGGGAATATATAGTTTCTTCCAATTCAAATATTTAGATTTTTTAACATAACACAAAATTATGAAACAAATTTGGGACTGGTGTAATTATTGATTCAGGGGGTTATAGTTTTAAATTTGCAGAAAGACCAGAGTTCGAAAATGAATTTTTGAACTCGATTTCTAATGTTTAAATTTCGTCCTTTTTTTTTTTTTTTGTTTAAGCAGTCAACTTTTTTTTATGTATTCAAAATTTTAATTTCAAATTTGTGGATTTGATGAATTGAACACTTCAAATGCCAGCAGTAGCCGAATAATCCATGTTTAATTTAATTAATTTTAATTCAATAACACGCCAATTATATTTCAAAAATTTTACATCAATCTTTTCCTCCAATTGTACAGATAATTATAATTTTTTTTAAAGTAAAAATCTTTAATAAAGAATAACAATAATAATAATTCCTTTGTTTTGTTTTTGTTTTCTTTTTTTTTTCTAATTTTTCCCCATCTAAACTGTCTCTCCATCTTAATTCGAATGCGCTTATCAACCGACTCGGTGATTCCTCGGATTCCGCTTCTCCACCCCGGGTTCGTGACCCCAGTACTCACCGAGGAAGGTCTTGGCGGCGTCCAGGCTAGGGTAGTAAGTGGGCTCGAGGAAAATCTGACTCAGTGAGTCGCACGACTCCGAATTCACCAGGATTCTGCTTGCGTTGGCCTCCAAGCTCCCCATAACAACCGTCAAGACCTCCTTGTATGCGAAGAAGAACCTCTTCAAAGCCGCCTCTATAGCTTGCAACCCTTGAAGAAGATGGATCTTCTCCGGCTCCCTCTTCTCTCTATAGAGTTCCATGGCCGCCTCCTGAATTCTGGGCCCACCCGTGGGGTCCACCTCCACCCCCAAGACGAAAGGCACCTTGTGCTTCAGCTCCTTGGACAGTTTGGTAATTTCAACCAAACCTACCGATCTGAAACAAAACGCTTCGTTTTGAGATAGGGACTTTATCTGTAACTGATTCTTCAGCTTTAGGAAATCTTCAGGGTCCATCAACAGGTGGAGGTCTTCGATATCGGCGAGAAGCATCCAGATCCTCTCCAGCAGGTAGCAGTCGTTGGCGGCTTCTTTGAATTCCTTCTTCTCGATTCGCCTAACAATGCGTTCTAGTAGCTCCTTCGACGCCTGGATCCACGACTCCAGGATCTGGTGTGTGGTGTATAGCTTTTGGTTCTCGTGGTTCTTTACGTGGTCGTAAGGATTTCTTTTCAGGGCATGTAGTTCGTTAGGCCGGCAAACGGCGTCGTATTCCAGGCTCGGCTTGCCGGCAAGGTTCGGTTCCCCTAGCCCGAGGGTGTACGGACATCTCTTCATCTCGCACTCAATGGAGTACAAGATCTTCTGTGCTATGTCCTCGGATTTCCGCCACGTGGCAAGACGAGGAAGCAAGCTAGCCTCGCTGGTTCGGTTCACGAACGTCGTCTTCTCCGCGCCACCGCCAAGCTTCCAAACCTCTGCCGAGCTACCATCCCTCTCCAACACCCCGCTCGAAGAGCTTACATCGGCAATCGGAGCCGCACCGCCTCTTCCGGTAGCCACATCGTTCTCACAGATCTCCGCGACAAGCTCGATCTGTCTGGTGGCCAGCGACTCGAGTCGCCGCTTCCACTCTCTCCGGTTGACATATGGCAACGGATCCGACAACACAATCGACACGAACCTAAAAGTAATCTCTAAAGCCTGCAAAGCCGGCTTGACAATCGACTCGCTCTCCCACTCCGGAAATTCCTTCACCCTCCAAAGCTTCCTCAACTCCGGAAGGCGAAGATAATAATCGTAAGCGGAACAAGCCGGAGCGGAAGCGGAAGCGGGAGAAGCCATGGAGAGGCTAAACGACGTCGGAATAGATACGTGGAGCTTGTTAGAGAGCTTGGGAGACTTGTTTGGGATATCAGGAGAAACCATCTTCGCTTTCCAATCCAAATCCACCATGGCTGCTAGCTACTTTCTTGGTTTTTTTTTTTTTTTGTTATCGCTGAAACTGAAAATGGAAATGGAAATGGAAATGGATATTTAGATTTTCGTATTTTTAGGTTATGATTTTGTTGATTAGAGAGAGATGAGGGAAAGGGGTATATATAGGAGGAAAAGGCGTGTGGAAAGGGGACGAGGAATTTGAAAGTCGCAGCAGTGTTGAAAAATAAAAATAAAAAAATAAAATTAGTGTTGATAGAGTAGAGAGGCACATGGAGCTTATCCAATTGAAATAAAGAGAAGGAAAGTGCAGTGGTGGTTAGGCGTGTATGTGGAACGGTTCCAAAGTTGGACCCTGGTCGTTGTTTGTTTTTGGTTCAATTAAAGTCCGCGATGGAAGCGTATCTAGTGCCTTCGCTTGCTTTGAGGTCTTCGTTCATTCTCCACTCATCTAACGACACGTGTCGTTTAATTGCGTTCGTACCTCTTTCTTCTTTCATTGATTCTGTCTGTGTTATATAATTTTAATTTTATGTAAACTTTAATAACTTTTTCTTTTAACTATAATTACTTAGTTAATTAATTAATTATCATATTAGTCTCCAAATTTTAATATTTATTTTAATTTTATTGTAATATTTTTAACGTCAAAATTATTGTTATTTTTTAATTGAAAGCCTAGATTTATTGTGTTATGTTTGAATATTTTGAAAAAATAATTTTAATTAATTAATTAAGTTTATAAATTAATAAAATATTTTATTTTATCATTATTATTATTAATTTAGTAATTAAATTAATCATTATAAAGTATAAAAATATGATCTAATTATTTTAATCTTTTTCTGTCAATAAATTGAATTAAACAAAAAGATTATGAATTATATTGTAATGAATAAAGTATTAATAATCAATTTAAAACAAATGCCAACATTTATAAATTAATTTAATAAATTATCCTAACTATTTTTTAACTAAATATTTTGATTTTAGTATAATTGTAGAGTAGTTATGCTATGTACAATATTACTAAAGTAATAAAATATTTATATTACCTTGCTAATTATAATTTAGAGCATAAAAGGAAAAAAATAGAAAAAAAATATATATATATATAATATAACCTATATCCATATCAAATTAAAAAATTACTATATGAAATCAAGGGAATGTACCTATTAAATAAATTGAATCATCTCACCTTAACAAACTATCATGAAATTAAAAATAAAAAAAATAGTATTTAATTATTAAATTACTTTTTTAAAAAAATGTTACACTTATTTTATTTGCATTGCTTTAGGTGAGTAGATAAGACTAACGTGTATATATAAGTAGAATTTTTTAAATAAATTTATACGTTTATTAATTATTTAATATACATGTATATCAATTATAGTACAATAAATAATAAATAAATTATATACAACCAATAATAAATTATGGCATAGTTTTAATTAAGTAGCTAATCAATTTGCAAAGTAAATGTTATCCTAAATATCCAATTACTAGTAAAAAATCCGTAAAGGTTGCAAATAACACAACTTGCAGCAGATCGTACCGCATAATGGAACTCTGCAGTTTGCATATTTTGTTCGTTTGCTCTGATTTCCACCTAGGATGCTTCCCTTGACGTGACAACTTATCCTCGTGGTCAAATTAAGAAATGCTTATCCGTTTTTTTTTTTAATTAAAATAAATAAAATAGTTATTTAAAAAAATTAATTATTAATTTTATTTTCAACAAAATTACGGGCTGTGCCATTGTCTGTTTAAGGGAATCAAGGAATTGCAAATTCTGTTCCATGCTTGTAGGGAAAACGACGCCGGCCTACTACGTTTCATTGAAGTTTTTGGTAACGGCAACTGTAGATTGCGACCATTAACATCAAGTAACAGACAATTTTAGCACAAACTAGAAGCTGCTGGAATGACTCAAATTAATCTTTTTATTTATTATTATAATAGATCAAATATATTTTGATATTCTTATTTTACAAATTTAACAATAACCCACAAACCACAAAATTTGCAATGATTTCTGTATAACAATTTCAAGTATTATTAAATTATAATTAACTTTTGTATCAGAATGTCTAATTTTTCATTATTCTATATGAAATTACCATTTAAAAAATTCATATGCTATCATTAATGTTATATAATATTTTATTGGAAAGATAATATTTTGAGTTCAAAATAATATTTTTAAGCATTAGTTGGTAAGTCGGTCCAAACTTCAAAAATTGTATAGTTTTAATATAAATAATTAACTTTTAAATAAATTGAAAAAAAAAATTGAATTTTATGCTGAAAACTTTGACGTTTAATTAATTACAAATTTTTAATAAAAATTAAACATTTATATTTATATTTATATTTATATTATTAATCCTACACGTTCGTACTAAAAATTGACTTAATGGTATTCCTCTCATTTAAAAAAAAAATGACTACACTATGACGTAATAAATGTAAATTATTTATCACAATATTTACGAAAAAATTATATAATAATTTATTTTTTAGAATTTTGTTGAAAATTTTTCAATTGTAGATAAGCATCTTCCCTTTCCATCTTGTCTGATTTCCGCAATTAATAATTTATCTATTTTCTTTTAAGACCAATTTTCAAAGGTGGCTAAAGGAGCTTCACTTGTTAGACTTTTTTTTTAAAAAGAAAAACCTCCGTGTAAGCCGCTTAAATTTGGGAAATCTGCACCGCCATTAATTGGCCCACGTGTCGCCAGTTGATTGCCCATCAGGCGCCCACTCCGGCGTAGTGCTCTCCAACTAGGCCGCTGGCCTCCTCCTCAAACCAACCAACCAACCAACCACGCGGCTCGGCACGTGATCTCACGCACCCTAACAAAACACGTGGCATGTCTTTCATTTGAACCACCTACTGTCATCTACCCCACCTGTCATCTTCCACGTGGCCCTATTAACCTCCCCTGGCGGTGCCAAGCGAGCTCCCGATATGCTGCCACGTGGAGAAACTTCAATCGAATGACGGTTTGATTGGCTTGCACGTTTGGCGAGTGGTTATGCGCCAGGGGATTCAATAATTTATATTTACATAATACATTTATGAGCCGCCGCAAAGCTGAATAAACGTCATCGTTTTAGTTTTTAGTTTAAATCGCCGCTTCGAGAAAGTTGTTATTTTACTTTTAATTTTTTTTTGACTTCGAAGGGAGTCAAATTGGGAGCTATCACAGGTTTCCTAGCAAGGAAGCATGTTTTATGGCAAACCACTGGACCCCACCATGTTTATATTGTTTACCGACGGAGGACCCACCCATTCCCTCAATTATCCATTTTTATTTATTTTTTTGCCACATTTATGAATTATCCGTTTTTTTTTTAAATAAATAAATAAATTCAGCTGTAGATAAGGAAGAATAAAGAATTTATTGTGGATGGATGCCTTACTGGGTGCGCAAGGATAGAATGTTTCAGAGCAATATATACGAATTTTATCTTATTGAAATAATATTTTATTATTTGATTTTACATCTATTTATTTTTTAAATTTAGGTGTTAATAAGCATTTGACGTTTTTATAACATAAATTATAAATCGTGAAAGTTTCTAAAATTTATAATTAATTACGATAAAATGCAATACTATTCTTTTTGTTTTAAATAAATATTTGATTTATTTTAATAAATTAATTACATTTATTAATTAAAACTATTGTTAAAATATAAAAAAAAATTAATATTGACCCCGTGAATTATTCTAAAAGATTAAAAATAAAAAATACCATATAAGATAAAATAAATATTGACTATAATAAATAATTTTTTTAAGTGATTAGTGGAATATAGTTTGTAAACCTAACACAATAAAGGACTAATAAATTACCGACATTGTAGCACACTAAATTAATTTTTTTTTAGATATAATCAAATATCTTGTTTATCATTTGCTTTGGATTTCATTCATATTTAATTAATTTTTTTTATTGTCATTAACTAAATATCATTTAATCATCATAATTATTACTGATAGATCATTAAATTTTATTTTAAAATTATAAATTCAATATTATTGAAAATATAAATTTTATTATTTTATAAATATATTATTATGAATCATTAGTAACTGATCTATAATGATTGATTCATTAAGGTTAATAACTTAATCCGTTAGTATGTTGATAAAATCATACAAAATTTATGATAAATTAAAATATTAAAAAGATAATAAAAATAATCTTTTTTTAACTTTACTTTAATTTTAAGGTAGACTATAGTTTTATACTATATAATTTGACCTTGTTATGATTCATCATTACACTTATTATGATAATGTAAGATATGTACATTATTTTACTTGAGATTATTAATTAAGGTTCATTTGGAATAATGTTGCACTTTCCTTTTTGTGTTTTTAAAGTATTTTTATAATTAAAATATGTTCTTTACAAAAGACAAAGTTAAAATATTATGTAGTGAATAATTATTTTAATAATAATTTTATTTTTAATAAAAATTTATAATTATAATTTCAAAAATAATTTTCATCAAATTTATATTTTCTATTTTCCTAAACTGGTGAAAATATTATGTAGATATTTTTAGTAAATACCAAATAATTTTTTTATTCTTATTGAATAACTATTTTAATAAAATTATTAAAACTCACAGCAAAAATTATAGTTGCAACAAATGCCTCTTGTATTTTTAATTTTATCATTTTATTTATGTTTATAAATATAGAAACGTGTTAATATATTTTTTTAAAAAATTAATAATTTCATATAAAATGATAAAAAAAAATACTCAAATGTAATAAAAATACATCACATCATTTAAATTATAATAAAGTAAAAATAATTATACATGCAAAATTAATTTTTAACATAAAATATAATTTTTTACATAAAAAAAGTTATTCAACCGTTTGTCGTGAATTTATAATTTTTTAATATATATTTATATATATTAATTTTGCTTATATTTTAATCAATTTTTTGTTTTTGTTTTTCACTTTGTTAATATTTATATTATTTTTAATATAATTCTTCTAAAATTATAATCCCTACGTAATGTAAACTTAAAATTTAATTATTTATTCATAATGACTAATTTACCTTTTTCAATAATATTTCTACATGAGGTGTTCGTT